GGGGCAGAAGAGAACACGAGATCCAGGTGCGAGGAGGAGAATTACCCACCGGTTTCTGGTGTAATGTGCAAGGAAAGCAAGTATCCTAAAGAGTTCTGCTGTAAATATCCCACGTGATCCCGGTGCAACAAGAAGGTGAAATAGCTCAAGGGTCCTGGTGCAGGATGGCAGCTATTCTACACGGTTCTGGTACAAGAAGGTGGAGTATCTTAGTCCAAAGAGATGATTATTGCACAGAGTCCTGGTGCAAGGACATATGAAACTATTCCTTGAGGTCCTGGTAGGGTTATGGTGCAAAAACGTACAACTTTTCAACAGGGTCCTGGGGTGAGAAGACAACTATTAAATGTCAGCCTAGTGCAAGGACACACAATAGCACAAGGCAATATGGCTATTCCGGAGGACCCTAGGGCAAGGGCCCACAAACTCCCTAGAGGATCCTGATGAAACTCACATGAAGGCATGCAGTCATGCAAGGGTGAGAAAATCCCACATGTGAACATGTGAAGCCCCCATGTAGTCCACATACAGGGGATATAATTATGCAAGGGCATACATATCACCAATGTGTCAATGAGGCAAGGGCATGCAAACCCACTGCAGGACAGGGATGATGGTGCAAGACCTCCAGTATGCTGGGGCAGCAATAGAGTGAGGGATATACAAAATCCTAGTGAGTGGGATTATTGTGCTCAATCCCCAAAAAGGAGGAATGATGGTGCAAGGAATGTTTAAAACCCTTATGAATAAATCACTGGTGAAAGGTCATTCTTGAGTTCTGTGAAGAAAACAATGGTGCAAGGGATGTGGGTCTCTCAAGTCACTATTGGAAGGGTTGTGTGAACCCCATAAGTGGAATCAATGGGTGCAGAAATCAGGCAAGCTCCCTGTGAATTGGTGCCAGGGCGTGCAAAAGTCTCACAGGGGGGAAAAGAGGAACCAGTGGTGCAAAGGCACGAGACCCCTATGAACAGGTCCATAGTGTGGGGGTGTGCAAAAGCCCTGTGAGGGAGCAATGGTGCAAGGGACACACAAGCCACATGTGGGGGAACCAGTGGTGCAAGGGGTATGCAAAAGCCCCCTGTGCAGATCATTGATGCGAAGGCTGCACAAGAGCCCTGTGAGGGGGGAGATGGTGCAAGTGACATACAAGCCACATATGGGGAAGTGATTGTGCAAGGGGTGTGCAAGAGCTTCACACACAGGTCATTGGTGCAAGGAGCATGCAAGAGCCTTGTGAGGGAGCAATGGTGTAATGGGTGTGCAAATCACATATGGGGACCTGATGGTGCAAGGGATGTGTGAGAGCCCCATGATGGTGCAATAAGGGGAGGGACGTGCAAGAGTCAGTGGTGCAAGGGGCTGTACAAGACCTCCCCCGAGGGCGGGGCGATGGTGTGAGGAGTCCCACACTGCCCACTTATTTATGGGGGGCTCACACTGCGCGTGCGCAGCAGCCCCCCGCCCCGCGGCGCCCCCTCGCCCGAAAGCGCGGGAAAAGCCCCGGGCAGCCGTTGTTTACCTCTAGTGCGCGCCGGCCTCAGCTCCACAGCGTTCCACAGGCTCCCCGCGCGCCGGGGCTGCAGCTCCTGCTGCCGCTCGCGCTGTCAGCTGCCGGCTTCAGTAGAGGAGGGGATGGTTCGGAGGAAGCGCGCTTCCCCCACCCCTTTTTCGGCACATGCGCAGACCCGGAGAGTTAAGGCTATTGCCGGGCTTCAGTCTAGTTCTTTATGGGCGGGGGAGGAGCGGGGTCAGAGGTCATGAGTGGAGGGGGAATACCGTAGCCGAGGACTGCTGGGAGTCGTAGTTTTCTGAAGGGAAGGGGCGGGCTAGGGGCAATGACAAATGTGGAAGGGGCATTAAGGGTCAGGATTAATGGGGGGCAAATGTGGGGGGCATTTGGAGGCACAGCAGAGGGGCAAATATGGGGAGGGGCAAATTCAGGGGGTGGGCATTACAAGGGCAAATGTGGGGGGAAGGGGTATTTGAGGCATTAGGGGCTGAGGCAAATTAGAGGAGGGGGCATTTGAGGGATAAGGAAAGGCAAATACAGGAGGGGAATGAGGGGCAGTGGGAGAGTTGGGGTAACTGTGCAGAAGGAGCGATTTGGGGGACAGAGGAGGGGAAGGGCAAACGTGGGGGGCTTTAGGGAGCTGGCAGTCTCTGGGGAGAGATGGGGGAGAAGGGTGTGGGGGGAGGGGTAGTTGGGGGTCACCCCAACTTCCTGCCTCCAGCCTGACAGGGTTTTGATGCCCCCCAACCCCCAGAGGAGGGTGGGAGTGGTGCCCCCACCCCCGTGATCTCTCCAGAGATCAGGCTGCCGTTGATGTGAGCTGTCCCATGAGGGGCCCCAGGCTGAGCCCCTTCCTGCTCATGCCAGGGATGGATGCCACCCTCACTCCTCTTCCGGCAGGAGCCGGACTGGCACAGCTCACAGGGCCCCTGCCACGCCACCTCCACTGCTGGCGCTTGCCGAGGGGCCCGAGGCAGCGAACCCGCCGCCAACAGCTCCAGCTGGCCATCAAAGGCTGTCCTGGGGCCCTGTGCAAGGCACTGCAAGGAGCACAGCTCCTGCCAGCCCCGATCCCCCCCACCCCACACAGCTCTGCCGTGCCCCACTCCTGACCCACAGATCCCTGGGATTTCCCCACCTCAGCTCTGCTGGTGCTACTCACTCCCAACCTGCAGCCCCTTACTATCCCAGCCCTGGGCTTTCCCCCACAGCTCCGCAGCCTTCTGGTGCCAGGTATGGCGCCGGGATCGAGGTGCTGCCCCTTTATTTTCTGCCAAGCCCTGGGCCCGTCGACGCTGCCTCTGAAATGGGCAGAGCTGGCCCAGGGCCAGAGGGAGCAGACGAAGCATGTGGGACAGGTCCAGTTGCGTTCCCTGCACTGGGAAGAGGAGCGGGGTCTCCTGGCCAGCTCAGGGGGCTGGGAACCAGGCTCCTAGGTTCTCTCTCCATTCGGGCAGCAGATCAAGCAGCGCTTTCCATGCTCGCTCCTACTCCATCCTATGCCCTGCCATACATTAATCTGCCGTGTCACCAGCAACCCAGGACTTGTTTTTAAACCCTCCTACTGCCGGATTTGTGCTCTGCCCGAAATGCCCATCTCCATTTATGCCAGGCAGATACTGTCCCCTGCAGGATGCCGGGGGCCATCATTCCCCAAAAGATGTTGGACATGGAGATGAATTTACTTCTCTCTCCACAATTTAAATAAGCCGAGCCAGAAAGCCTATCCAAATCGCCCCTCAGCCTCCCCTCCCAGCAAGCCTGTAGCGTTCCCCATAGATCCCCCCGGTAGTGGTCCCACAGTCCAGCCACCTTGCCCCAAACCAGCCCCTCACCCTGCCAGTCCCTCTCCTGTTTCAAATTTGCTTGCACACGCTGCCAGTCTCTATAATCCTTGTCATAACTATAAAGGGAAGGGCTATAGCCCTCCTGTGTACAATACTATAAAATCCCTCCTGGCCAAAGACTCCAAAATCCTTTTACCTGTAAAGGGTTAAGAAGCTCAGGTAACCTGGCTGACACCTGACCCAGAGGGCCAATAAGGGGACAAGATACTTTCAAATCTTGGTGGGGGGAAGGCTTTTGTTTGTGCTCTTTGTTTTGGGGGTTGTTTGCTCTTGGAACTAAGAGGGACCAGACATCAATCCATGCTCTCCAAATCTTTCTGAACAAGTCTCTCATATTTCAAACTTGTAAGTACAGCCAGGCAAGGCATGCTAGTTTTATCTTTGTTTTCTCAACTTGAAAAAAGTATCTTTTGCTAGGGTGTTTACCTCTGTTTGCTGTAACTTTGAACCTAAGGCTAGAGGGGGGTCCTCTGAGCTCTTTAAGTTTGATTACCCTGTAAAGTTATTTTCCATCCTGATTTCACAGAGATGATTTTTACCTTTTTCTTTAATTAAAAGCCTTCTTTTTAAGAACCTGATTGATTTGCCCTGTTTTTTAGATCCAAGAAGATTGGATCTTGATCCACCAGGAGTTGGTGGGAGAGAGATGGGGGGGGATGGTTAATTTCTCCTTGTTTTAAGATCCAAGGGGTTTGGATCTGTATTCACCAGGGAATTAGTGAAGACTCTCTCAAGGCTACCCAGGGAAGGGAATTAGCATCGAGAGTGGTGGCAGCAGACCAAATCTAAGCTGGTAGTTAAGCTTAGAAGTTTTCATGCAGGCCCCCACATCTGTACCTTAAAGTTCAGAGTGGGGAAGGAGCCTTGACAATCCTTAAGGCCAAGATCAGCGATTCCTACAGAGGGTGATTGTCTAGTACAGTGGTTCTCAACCAGGGGTACACAAAGGTCTTCCAGGGGGTACATCAACTCATCTAGATATTTGCCTCATTGTACAACAGGCTACATAAAAAGCACTAGCGAAGTCAGTACAAACTAAAATTTCATACAGATAATGACTTGTTCATACTGCTCTATATACTATACACTGAAACGTAAGTACAATATTTATATTCCAAATGATCTATATTATAATGATATGGTAAAAATGAGGAAGTAAGCAATTAGTCAGTAATAGTGTGCTAGGACACTCTTGTATTTTTATGTATGATTTTATAAGTAAGTAGGTTTCAAGTGAGGTGTAACTTGGGGGGTACGCAAGACAAATCAGACTACTTTCCAAAGTAGTCTGGAAAGGTTGAGAACCACTGGTCTAGTCCAACTGGTGACACAGGCAGAATTAATTCCTGCTTGACCTAGAGCATATCTGCTGTGAAAAACAACCCTCTCTCCCTATAAAGTTTGCCAGAGTCGGAAAGTCAGCCCCCTCTGCCCCACACCTTCCCCTACAGGCCCACCCATGGCTAAACACAGCAGAAATCCCCTAGCATGAAACTGAGCAGCCCAGCATCACCAATAGGCAGGTTTTTTAGGAATTATTTTGGGAGCGTTCCCCAGCCTGTGTTACCCGGAAGGCCAGAATAGACGATCTCTTCTGGCCTTGAAATCTAGGGTCTCTGATCAAAACCTGACAGATGATGTGGGATCAAGACAATTTATTTGCACCCCAGAGGAACAGCATATCCAGTTGGAGCTCGATATGAGCAATCTAACCCGGGTTTTCGCAGAGCACGGGGTCTGTGGGAGCCAGGGGCTGGATTCAGGGGGCAGCTAGACCCCATCTCAGTTCAGCCGCAGATCCAGTAGGCTGGGCGCTCGGCTCACAGGATGGCCTGCGGCTGCTGGGTCATCAGGACGCCGAAGCGTTTCTTGATGGTGATGCGGTGGCGGGAGTACTTGTCATCCGGGGAGAAGCGGGCAGGGTGTGCGGAGCAGGTCAGCTGGCCAGAGGGATCCACTTTCTGCCAAGGACAAGACACAGGAAGACATGTTAGAGCACCCTGGGCCTGACCGATAGCCCCCTGCTATCCCAGCCCTGTGCTCCCCTGACCCACGTCTGCCGGTGCCCACCCCTTCTGACCTGCAGCCTCCTGCTAGCCCAGCCTTGCCGGAGCCCCTCACTCCTCACCTGCAACCCTCTGCTAACCCAGCCAGTGCCCCTCACTCCCAACTCACAGCCCCTGCTAGCCCAGCCTTGCACCCCTCAACTCTGCCAGAACCCCTCACTCTTGACCAGCAGCCCCCTGCTAGCCCAGCCCTGCGAGTGCCCCTCCCTCCCAACTCACAACCCCTGCTAGCTCAGCCCGGACCCCGCGCCCCTTTCCCAGCACTGCCGGTGCCCCTCACTCCTGACCCGCAGCCCCTCCTAGCCCAGCCCTGGAGCCAGGCAGCGGGTAGGATGGGGCAGGGCCGGGAGTAGGGACAGTAGGAAAGGTTCGGAAGGATCCGGATTGGGACAGAAGTCGCCAACCCTGCATCCGGATTGCACCCCGGGGGAAGCGCTCACCTTGAGGGTGTAGACCCTGTCACCCTGCGCGTTGAGATAATACTGCAGGAACATGCTGCACAGCCGGACCGCCTTGCAACGCACGTGCTGCTGATCCCGGAACCCTGCACTAGAAAGAGGCCAGCCCCAGCGCACGCTGGGAACTGTAGTGCGCTCTAACTCCAATGTACGCTAGGAGAGGGACCGCCCATTGCCCGCAGTGCACTCTGGGAGTTGTAGTTCAGTCTAGCCCCAATGCCCAAGGAGAGTTGCAGGGTCTCTACCCCAGGGCACTCTGGGAATTGTGCCTTAATGCACTATAGGAGAGGGACCTCAAGCCCCAGTGACCTAGGAGGGATGGAGGGTGTATACTCCAATGCACTCTGGGAGTTATAGTGCACTCTGCCCCCAATGCCCTAGGAGAGCGGCAGGGTCTCTACTAGAGCTGTAGTGTGTTCCAGCCCCAATGAACTCTGGGAGCCATTCTCTTTCTGCCCTCAAAACCTTCAGAGAGTTGTAGTTGTTTGGCTAGCCAGGTGCATTATGGGAGTTGTAGTTTCTTAGCCCTCCGGTACTCCAAATTTCTGCACCCCAGTGCATTTTGGGATATGTCCTTTCTGAGCTTCTAACCTCCCTGCTCCCAGTACAGCTCGTGTCCCACCCCCATGACCTAAACCAGGGTGGGCAAACTTTTTGGCCGAGGGCCACATCGGGGAATAGAAATAGATTTGTGGGCCATGAATGCTCTCAAAATTGGGGTTGGGATGCGGGCACTGGGGTGAGGCTGGGGCTGAGGAATTTGGGGTGTAGGAGGGTGCTCTGGGCTGGGACTGAGGGGTTTGGAGGGTGGGAGGAGGATCAGAGCTGGGGAAAGGGCGCAGGTTCCGGATGGGGGTGTGGGCTCTGGGGTGGGGCTGGGGATCAGTGGTTTGAGGTGCTCCGGGCTGGGATCGAGGGGTTTGGAGAGTGGGAGGGGGATCAGGGCTGGGACAGGGGGTTGAGGCATGGGGAGAGGCTCAAGGGTGCAGGCTCAGAGGGGCACTTACCTCAAGCGGCTCCCGGAAGCAGTGGCATGTCCCTTCCCCAGCTCCTACATGGAGACATGGCCAGGCAGCTATGCATGCTGCCCCCTCTGCAGGTGCCGCCCCTGCAGCTTCCATTGGAGCACGTAGGAGCCAGAACGGGACCATGCCATGGCTTCTGGGAGTAGAGTGACCAGATCACCCAGGTGAAATATCGGGACGGGGGGGGCGCAAAAAAAAAAAGCCGCCAGAGCTCCACGCCCCGCCCCCCAGCTTGCCTCTGCTCCGTCTTGGCCGCCGTGGGCCCGTGCCCGCCCGGCTTGCCCCCCCAAACACATACACACACACCCCCCTGCACAGACACCGGTCACCCCTCCCCACGCACACACACAGAGCCCTGCACAGCTCCACTAGTCACTAGACCAGCCCCTTTCTCAGCTAGCAGCTCTGGTGTCCCCAGACCAAAGCTCCCCAACCCCCGACCCCTGTGCACCCCGTGAGGAAAACCAGTCCTCCTTTCCGGCTCCCCGGGGCCACTGGACTGTCCGGGACTTGACCCCAGGCCAGATTTCAGTCCAACACACCCAGGAAGCAGTGCTCCGGGCCAACTTCCAGCGGTGGCTAGGCCCGCAGAGCCGGAGGGAGGCGCAGCCCAGCGTGGAAGGTGTCTCGGGCTGGGCGGCCCGCGGGGGCAGGTTTGAGAAACCCCTTCCTGGGCTGGGGGCTGCTCTGACTGCTGGCGTGCAGGGCCAGGCTGGAGGGGATCGGGCAGTGCTGGGCGCGGAGAGTGGCGCTACGACGCGGCGTTTGCGGGCCTGGGCTGGGCTGGGCTCGGCTGCCGGCGGACGGGCCCCGGGGCGGCTTGAGAGGCAGGCGAGGTCCGGGAAGACGTGTGGCCGCAGAGGGGCTGAGCTCCTGCCTCGCCTCGGGAACCCCCAGCGGGGCAGCTGCAAACGCGTCTCGCTCTCCCCAGCCCAGGCCGGGCCCCTCCCGCCGCCGCTCACTACCTATCCCTGCGGCGGGACGGGCAGGGGACCGGCTCCCCCACCCCCTGAGGAAGAGGCTCTGTGCGCCAGCGGCCAAGCTCCGGCTTCCAGTCCCTCCTCAGTCACCCGCCCCACACGCTGAGCCAGCTGCGGCCAGGGGAGCAGACTGGGCTGGCTGCAGCGTGCCCAGATAGTGCTTGGGGAAGAGGCGGGCTCAGGGCAGGGATTTGGGGAGGGATCCAATGGGGGAAGAAGGGGGCGGGGGGGCGCAAGCGCCGGAGCAGAGGGCAAAATTGTTTGTTTGTCCTAGGGTGACCAGACAGCAAGTGTGAAAAATCAGGACGGGGGTGGGGGGTAATAGGAGCCTATATAAGAAAAAGACCCCAAAATCGGGACTGTCCCTATAAAATCGGGACATCTGGTCACCCTAGTTTGTCCAGTGTCCCGGCCGAACATCAGTCGGGACGCGGGACAAACAAGCAGATATCGGGACAGTCCCGATAAAATCGGGACGTCTGGTCACCCTATCTGGGAGCCACGTGGTGCAGCCCTCAACCCTGTGCCCCAGTTGGAGCACCAAGGGGGGCCGAGCCTCATGGTGCGGCCCCCAATCCAGCGTCCCGGCAGGAGTGGGGCCGAGCTGCGTGGTGAGGGTCACTGGACCGGCTTAAAATGGCTCGTGGGCCATAGTTTGCCCACCTCTGACCTAAACCATTCGCTCATAGGCGCCGACTCCGGGGCTGGAGCATCCACAGGGGAAAATTGGTGGGTGATCTGCACTCACCGACAGCTCCCTGCCCTGCCTCCCCGCCCCAGCTCACCTCCGCCTCCTCCCCTGTGCATGCGTTGTGCCTGCTTTCCCCCCCTGTGCCCAGCGCTTGCGCCACAAAACAACTGTTTTGCATGGCAAGCGCTGGGAGGGAGGGGGGAGTAGGGGGAATGCAGTGTGCTCAGGGGAGGAGGCTGGGGCAGGGATTTGGGGAAGGGGTCCAATAGGGGCAGGGAGGGGGCGGAGTTAGGGTGGGGGCTTTGGGGAAGGGGTTGGAATGGGGGCAGGGCAGGGAAAGGGTGGAGTCGGAGTGTGGGGGCGCTAGCACCCACCGGCGCTGGGGAAAGTTGGCGCCTATGCATTTACCCCCTTTTAGCTCCCCAAACAAATGGCTCCCCAGTGCACCCTGGGACGTGTAGTCTAGTAGCTCCCACTGCTCCATGGGGGTTGTAGTCACTAACATCCAGTGCATTCTGGGAATTGTAGTATCTCCCCCTTCCCAATGCCCTGTGAGAGTTGTCATCCCCTAATCCTGTTTTAATTAGCCTTATACTGTAAATAGGGAATAGTCACTGAGCAGGTATGTGAATGATTGAAGGATTAGAAACATGCCTTAGAATGAAAGACTCAGTGAGCTCAAGCTATTTAGCTCAACAAGAGAAGGTAAAGGGGGGACTCGATTACATTGTACCTATAAGGGGAACAAATATTTAATGGTGATCTCAAAGGTCTAACAGGATCCAATGGCTGGAAGTTGGAACTAGACAAATTCAGACTGGAAAGAAGGCGTAAATTAACAGTGAGAGTAATTAACCACCGGAATGACTACCACGGGTCATGGTGGAATCTCCATCGCTGGCGACTTTTAATTCAAGTTGGGATGTTTTTCTAAAAGATCCGCTCTAGGAATTATTTGGGGGACGTTCTCTGGCCCATGCTATACAAGGGGTGTTCAGAAAGTTTCTGGCCTTACAAATCAAAAACAATCCAATTTGCATTCTGTTGTTTATTTATTTTTATTATAATTCCCCTTGACACCAATGCACGGGCCCATCTTGGAGAAGTACTTGCCATGCATGGCCGAAATGCCTCCACTGCTGCAACCACCTCTTTATTGCATTTGAAACTCAACCCGCAAAGGTCCTCCTTCAATCTGGGGAACAGGTGGACATCTAAGGGAGCCAGATCTGCTGGAGAGGCTGGACGGGAAGCAGTTGAAAGCCACATTAGCTAGCTGTGGCCACTGGGACGTCTAAGGTGACACATTGTCTTGGAGAACCAAAAAGCTCCAGAGTATTCCTGGAAACGCCACATCGTGCTCTCACGTTCGGGGCACCTGCCTTGTTGACCCTTTTCTTGTGCCCGAGTCTTCAGTTAACTATGCACCTGACTGTTGATCTTCTTTCCTTCTGGTATAGTGGCATCTCTGGGACGTCCTGACCTTGGCTCATCCTCTGTGCTGATCCGCCCTTGCTTAAATTCAGCAGCCCCATTGTTTACAGTGGCACCATCTCCCAGCATCCCCCCCACCCCCACCCCATTCTCATGGATGTCCTGTGCATTCAAGCCGTTCTTATGCAGGTACTAGCTCCCTACTAAACTTTCAGTCTTCTCCATTTTTAGATCTTTGGTGACTGACTCCCTGAATGTTCTGCACAGGCAAAAAACTGCCTTCTAGCAAAGAGATGCATCAAAGTGTCAGCACCTTGGTCTGTGAAATCTGTTGGGCCCCAGCGTGTCCTTAAATAGGTCCGACTGGACCTTTTCTGAGTTACCCTAATACAGATCATCACAATGGTTCCTTATGGCCTGGGTATGAGCAAAAGTCATGTCCATGCGGCTCCTTTCCTTAGTATCAGGGGCCACACTGAAAGCCTGGCAGCTGGGTACAGTTTTTTGCGGGGTGTCCTGGTTTCTCTAATGTTTACCCCAAAGCCACAGGAGCAAACCAGGGGACGATGAGTCGGGATTGAGGGGCACCGGAACAGCTGGGGGATGGGGAACCCAGGTCTGGTAGGAGGGGGCTGCGGGTCAGGATTGAGGGGCAGTGGCAGAGCTGGGGAAAGAGAACCTTAGGATCAGGCTCTGAATGCCCCCCCCCATCAGAACTTCCGACGTCTCCAGGTTCCAGATTTGTTTTGATTCAACCTGGCAGCTGGGGGGCGAGGGTGGGGGGTGGTGCCAGGGCCAGATTGGGGCGTGAGTTTCCCAGCAGCCCTTGTTCTTCGGCGGGTGCTGCCGATACCCTCTGCAGAGAACGGCCTCCCCTTTCCCTCCCCGCTCATGCTCTCCAACCTTCTCACCCCTCCTTGCCATGACCTCCCAGCCCCGCCAGGGCCCCCTGCTGCCTCCTCTCCTGCTGCCTACCTTCCCTGGTGCTGCCCTGCTCCTGACCTCACCCGA